CAGGCTTTTCCAGCTCGTTGTACCCATAAATTTCTCTCTTTTTAATGACATCCAGAGAGCTTAATCCAGAAACTCTATTGGTTTCATAGTACTTTTCACATTCTTCAATTTCTTTAGCCCATGCTGGAAAGATTGCGAGGTTTGGAGCTCTTGGACTTGGAATCTCTCTGTTGACAGTGTCTTGTCCCCCTTTCCCCATGGCAGAAATATAACAGGATTAACCAGAAACAGATAGGAACTATGGACTGTATCACACCAAAGGATAGTGAGAAATAGTGAGAAATGGGAATTTAGAACTCAAGAATTGCAAAGTGATTTCTACATGTAGACAAAGTATTATCCAAAAAGGTTTGCATGATATAGAGTAAACGGTCAACAACTGTTTTACAGAATTAGAAGTAAACTTCCAAGAAGACTGCTTGAACTTTAGCTGTATATCTAAGAAACTGAGAAAAGTTTGAAAAAGCAAAGAGGGAAGGTACCACCAAAGGGCCTTCTACAGGGAGTTGGCTTTGACTCTTTGATCAGTCTTGATAGTTTTGGGAAACGTGACAATGCAACTTTAGAGCTTTTGGGCTGTATGATAAATTGCAATGCCATGACCGCATATTTATACTCTCTTTTTTCCTTTGCTCCTGCTTCCCAAATCTTTTTCCCCATGCTCTTTCTCCAGCTTCAAGAGCTAAGGTTGAACAAAGGAAACTTCGTGGATGCATCCTTTATGCTTAAATACTAATTGCAGCTGTTACAACTCTTAAAGGAATGATGTAATTAGCCACGGTCGGTAACAAGTCTCTGGGGTTCTTTCTGGTAAGCAAGCATGCTTGCAGTTGCAGTTCGTTTCTGTTGAGGAAGAAAATGATTGCTCATATCATTTAAATATATAAATTACAAGACTTCCCGGGAACATTGCTGGATATTTTACATCATTAGTCCTAGGTTTATTCAGTGTAATTGTCGATCGTGGATTAAATGCATGCTTTGATTAGACAAGTCATCATAGAAACTACCACGAATTTGCTCGATTTAAAAGTACATAAACATCGTCTACTAGTACATATCTTATCATCTCAATGTTCCTTTCTGTCTATATAAGCAGACTTTTGAGCTGAGAATTAACATTTTCGTTAAGACAAGCACCATTTCATAATTTATCATGTCTGATATCTACTAGGTAATATCCAGTTTTGTTTTACCGGGGTACACGTGCACAATAAGCACACTGAATAAAGGTAAGCTCATTATTAAAAATTTTAAATTATCAGCTACCCACTGAATTGCAATACTCTTATCGAAAAAATTAACAAGAGAAAAATAGCAATCTACCACAAGAAACTAGTGCACCGAATAAATAAACCAACAATGGCATCTCCTCGTTAAATGAAAGGATAGATCTTATATATACTGACGATGACAGTATATCTATTTGTGATTATTGATGCATACCACTTAATCTAAAATTGAATTAAACTTTAATTTTTTACATATATGACATGTATCTATGCTGCTTGCGTATATATCACCAGTATATACAGGATTAATCCTCAATAAAACAAACTTATAGCAGCCGCAAATCCATTTGCAACACGAGCATAGAAGGGAAACATAAAACACGAAGACACCAATTAATATGCTTAGTTAGCAAAGGTATAACCGGGGGAAAAAAACATGGGCTATTATATTCAAAAGGCAATGACAAACTTTCTTTCTGTGGCGTCAGCTTATATAGCTACATGAACTTTGTATAGTTTTCGATTTTTCGTACACTGGAAAAGAAAATTCTAGTTCCTTGGTTATTTGTAATCTTGCATAAATAAATAGTTGGGGTAGTTAGTGCATTGGCAGTCGAGCAACAAAGAGGCAAAAACCTCAGTTTGGGAAGGGAAAGTCAACAGGAACGGATACGTCCTCTTCCAGTGTCTCAAGTCCTCAGAAGCGTCTTGTCCGGATCCGAAGCAGGACGGAGATAAAATGAGGGCAGTGGAGCAATTGCCTCCACTGGCCCCACAAAAATTATATATATATATATATAATCTTCAGCTTTGTCCTTGCATTTGTAGATAATTGCCCTCACAGCCTTTAATATTTTTATATTTGCTTGGTTTGCCGACAACTTAGTTTTTGTTTAACAAACTTTAAAAAATAAATAAATAAATAGAATAGAAGAAACCAACCCAACCTTACACCGAATTGAAACCAACAAAAATCTTATTTTATCTGTACTATTCTACTTTCTCTCTCGTTGTTAATATAATTTCAAGCCTTAGATAGGCAAAGTCATTTGAAAAACTCCTTTAATTTCCTTCTATACACATTGAAACTTATAAAAATTACTTTTTCTTCATTCCAACTTAAAAAAAAAAGGTTACAAAAAAGTTTACTATTAGAGATTCACGAGAAGTATAAAAACCCTTTATTTGGTATTCGGGATTTCATATTAGTTGTGAAAAAGCCTTTTATTTTAAGGGATTTGAGAGGTAGAATTGTTTATTTAGACTGTTACTTCCCAAATAACACTCAAATAAGTATTTTTAAGAAACTTTACTTGATTGTTTCTTTAATATGATTGTATAAATTTTGATTGGTCTTGCTCAAAAGTTATTTCCTTATTATAATTAATTATGTAAAATTAGATAATAAAAGGCAAAAGAATAGTTCACTCTGTGCTCGCCATGCAGCTCTGTAACTGGTCTTGGTGGAAGAAAAAAAATTGTGTATATTATTTTATTTTAAAAAAATTGGGGACTCTTTGATGAATGATTATTATTACATATATCAAAATTTAAGTATTTTAGAAAAGCTTAAAAAAGGGATAAGAAAACACACCGAGAAAAATTGTAAAGTGATTATGCACATAAAATTTAGAATATATTGGTTATATTGTTATTGAGTATATTGGTTTGATACTCTTCGATTAATGGATTTTTATATATTAACTTTGCCTCCACTGAATTACATTTCTAGTTTTGCCACTGATCCGAAGCCTCTCTAGTTGAGTTTTGTCTAGTCTGTCAAGTTGTATAATTCTTATAATATTTGGTGTAAAATGATACATTTTGGTGTAAATGTTAATTATATTCACCTATACAGCTAATTTATAATTACACTAAAATTATACTAATTTATGCCAAAAATCATAAGAACTATAACAATTGGACTGAACTAAACAGAATCAATTGGAGAGACCCTAATCATATTGTTGTTGCTAGTCTAATATGCTAAAAGCACCCTAAAAACTTGTCAGATAACTTCTTGTAATGAGAATTAGCAAGTTTAGTCTGATTATTAATTCCATACCATCTCTATACAATTATCCGAGATGAATCGATCTCACATGCATGCCAAAACATTGACGCTTGGGACTTGTCACAGATATACGAGCAAAAAATATTAAAGATAAACAGTAGTCCCACACAAGCAATTCTTTCTTTTTCAACGAAAAAGTGTTTAAAGGATTTAAAGTGCCATATATTAAAAACCAATGAGCATTTTGGGCAGCATAACTGGTATCATAACATATATATATATATATATATATATATATATATATAACGTCAATGCATCTTGTGGAGGAAGAAATCCTCTATAGACACATGTCAGGACCAAGGAGCTCTGTTCGGACCTCACCCCCAAACCCAAATTGAGCCTAACTAACTATCTTAATTGGGGACTGCCAAATTTTCGGGGTAAGATCAAAGTCAGGATTGAAGAAGGACTTTACCTTTAGTATCCTAGTAGGACTCATGCTCATGTATGAGATAACTACAAGGAATAGAAGGATAACTCCGAACTCTTTCATAGATATCCAGGGGAGGGAGTCTTATAAATAATTGTAGGATGGACTAACAAAAGGTACAAAAAATATAGTGCATGCATTGTCTTTACGGGGAGTCACAACGGGGACTATTCCTAAACTGATTTGAGCATTGAAGTTACAACGAGGGGATAATACTGCTGTTTGACTCATTGCAGGCCAGTTCGACTACGCCTGTTCGGTGTCCTGTTCGGATCATGCTGTCGGCGGAATCTCCACTTCTCATGAACAGTGACTTGATTTAGAACATATATGAAGTCCTAAGAAAAATGAGTATCTTCCTATTATCCTATATATAAAGCATCAAGGATGGTTTTGGTGTTAGAATTTTATTTTCACTAGTGTTTCCATCTTTGTACTCATTAACAGTAATTAACGGTAAGGATTTACAGTAGATAACTACTATATGCAAATCTTAAATAATTTTTTAGTAACTTCCATTAACTTCTAATATTTCAACTTCCAATAACTTGGAAGTTAATACATTAAAAGGAAAAAAAGGAATAAAAACTTCCAATAACTCTTTTTTTGGAACTACCAACTGCCACTTTTTTATTATAAAAAAGTTCTACTTTTTTTTTGGGTTCAATTGTACACCCATTTCCAAGTATATGTAATATAGCCACAATTCTTGTATAGCTTGAGTAATTAATTTCAACGACCTTTTATCCTGGAGTAGTTTGAATGAATGAATCTAGGGAGAATTGTAATTTTGATCCCCAATCTATAGTGCACGCGCGTAATTAGTCCTCAATCTATTTCGAAAATCAATTTTGGTCCACAATCTATTCAATTTTGCGCTAAAAGTGAATAATTGACGGAATTTCTTCAATTTCAACCATAACCAAGTCACGTGAGATTACGTGCCGGCACTAAAACCCCCTTTTCAATTTTTTTAATTTCCGAAGCACGCTTTTTAATATTTTCAGCTTTGTCTTGCCTTTGGACATATTAAACAAAGACATTAAAGGCTAAAATTCACTAATCAAGGAGTGGATCCCACCAAAAAGGTTGAATATCAGAAAAAGAAACATTTGCTCTCGTATTTCTCATCCTGGTCTCTTCTCTTCAACAAAAGAACAACGAACCCTAAGAGCCAAAATCAAGAATCAAAACGTGAAAAAATACGGAAAAATCTTGCCGAATTCAATCAAGCTGAAGCTGCTCGTGGTATTGCAAAGCAGAAATGGCAGTGAGACCTAAGGAAATGAACAAGCTGGCAGCACCTAATTATGGTATGTGATTTTGCTTTCTTTTTGTGATATATATGCACAATCGCCAACTATAATGTTAGAATATAGTGGAAAAGATGCTTTTTGTGCTTGAGGGGACAAAAAATCTGTAAGGAAGGCTTTATTAACGACCAATCCTGAAAAAAACCCTAAAAAAATTTGTCATTTGTGATGTGGTCCTATGTGTGTCTCTAAACAGGATCTTATCATGCTGGTTCATACTGTACAAGTAGGACTTATTTTACTGCAATTGATGGTCCTTGTCTTTGAATCTTTGCTAAAGTATGCATTTTTTATTGTCGGTTTGCTAGTTTTGCTATTTCTGTCATCTAAATTATGGCCTGTGTAGGTTGTTTGTTGTTTTTGTTTCTTTTTTTTTTTTTAATGTAGATAGTGATAGCACGATAGTGACTATGAAGTGTCACTTATGGGGAAAATGTGAAACTGAACCTGATGGTCATTATGAGGGAGGTGAATTAAGGGTGTTTGATCATGTAGAGGTCACAGGTATAAGCCTTTTTGAAATGGATAGAATGTTAGAAAGTCAGGTTGGGGCTATAGGTGACAAAAAGTACCACATTTTGATAGAGGAACATGGCTTCCATCTGTTACAGCATGATAGAGAATTGCATGCCTATTGTGTTGATCAATTTGAGTATGGAAGGACAGTTGATTTGAACATAGAGGTTTCTTTTAGTGAGTTATTAGCATCACAGTGGGGCTCTGATGTTGATGATGAAGATTTTGTATTAGAAGATGAAGATGATGAATCTGATAGTGAATATATAGAGGGTTCTGATTTTGGAGAATTCTCAGGAAAAGATTCTGATTATGAGCAAAATTCTGATGACAATGACTACAAAGAAAATGTTGATCATAATTTAGAATGGTTAGGGGTAGAAAATCACAGGAAAGAGCAACTTAAGAGGAATGAAAAAAAGGAATGTGTAGAGGAAACTAAGGGACAAATAGTGACTAATTCTGATACTGATGATGACAACTCCGACATAGATGTTGCACCAGATTCAGGTTCAGATATTGATAGTCTCCAAGGTTTAGATGAAGAGGGTCATTCAAGACCCCCTATGTATGACCCCAATGATGCAGATAACCCCAACCTTGAAATTAGGCAGGTATTTACCACATTCAAGGAGTTTAAAGAGGCAGTTAGAACCTGGAATATCAAGTGGGGTAGACCATTTAAATTTACCAAGAGTGAAACCATTAGATGCAGGGCAATTTGTCCTAACAAAGGATGTGACTGGAGCATATATGCTAGGAAAATGAAAGGTGATCACAGATTGGAAGTTAGAACATTCCAGCAGAAGCACAAATGTGGGTTTTCATATCATAACAAGAGTGTAGAATCTGGGTGGGTTGGCAGAAAATATGTTAACACATTTAGGGAGAATCTCAGGATGGATTATGCTAGCTTCAAAAACTTGGTAATGAACGAGAACAAGTGTTATTTGAGTAGACATCAAGGCTATAGAGCTAAAAAGATTGGCAGGGAGTTGGCCCAAGCTAGTGATGTGGACCAGTACAATAAGTTGCCCAAGTATATCAATGAAATCTTGAGAAGTAACCCAGGTAGTACTATAGTGATAAAGGTGGCAAAAGACTACTGTGATTCAGTCACCAAACAAGGAAAATTTCAAAGATTGTACATGTGTTTTGCTAGGATGAAAAAAGGATTTTTAGATGCTTGCAGGCCTGTGTTTGGGTTAGATGAGACTTTTCTCAAAGGTGCGGCTGGTGAAGTATTACTGACAGCAGTTGGAGTTGATCCAAATAATGGTTTGTATCCAATTGCTTATGCAGCAACTGAGGGAGAAACTAAGGATTCCTGGATTTGGTTTCTTACTTTACTTAAGGAGGATCTAAAAATTGAAAAAGATTATGAATGGACCATAATGAGTGACAAGCAGAAGGGCATAATTCAGACATGTGATTCAGTTTTTCCAGGGACTGATCATAGATTTTGTGTGAAGCATATGCATAGCAATATGGTAGCTGCTGGATTCAAAGGGACAGCCATGAGGCAAGCCTTATGGAAAGCAGCTAAGGCAACTACTCATGCACAATTCATAAAAAGAATGGAAGCCATAGCAGAACTGGATGTTGATGCAATTAAGTGGTTAGAGGACAAGAATCCAGCAGAGTGGAGTAGATCACACTTCAGGACATTCCCTAAATGTGATATGTTGTTGAATAACATATGTGAATCATTTAACAGCAAAATATTAGATGCCAAGGTCCATTATTGTCATGATGGAGGCATTGAGGCATGTTGTCATGCAAAGAATGCAAGAAAATAGAGATAGAGTTAGGGAAAAGTGGAGTAAATTTGGTTTCTGTCCAAAAATCAGAAAAAGGATGAAGGATAATATTGACAAGGCAACTTACTATGTGCCTTACAAATCAAATGATGTCAGTTTTGAAGTTGCTTGTCCTTATGGTGAAAAGTGGGCAGTCAATATTGAGGATAGGACTTGCTCATGCAGGAAATGGGATTTGACAGGGATACCATGTGCTCATGCAATTTCAACTTTGTGGATTGCTATGAAGGACCCTATGCAGTACATTGATGACTCTTACAGTGTTGAAACGTATCTTAAGTATTATGACCCTTGCATTTTACCTGTGAATGGAGAGCATGAGTGGGAAGATGTAGATGTTCAGCCACCCTTGCCACCAACTTATGGAAGAGCACCAGGAAGACCAAGAAACAGAGGAGAAAATCTGCTGATGAGATACAAGAAACAAAGGAGCAGGGCAAGAAGGTGAGGAGATTTGGTCAAATCTGTAAATGCTCATTCTATGGTGAGCAAGGTCATAACACACGGACATGTAAGCTTGTGAGGACTTGAAAAATTTCTTATTTTATCGAATATTATTGGTTTATTTAAATATTTACTCACCCGTTTTCTCCGAATAATTTATTCCAACCATTTTAAATCCATTCGTATCGAACAATGTTCTCTTATATTTTTAAAACGTCCCGTTAGCAAATTTAATAATGAGTATACTTGTTTCGAGATGATATTTTAGCCGAAAGTACAATTACCTTGGAGAATTAAGAATGATCAATAGTAGATTGAGAAAAATTAATTGAGGAAGTAGAGGTGAATGGGTTCTAATTAAGTTACCCCGTGTTCACGTAGAAAGTTTTCGAAAAATCACACCGCGCGGCAAATTGGAGACTTGAGGAATCAATGTGTGAGTACTCATGGTTTATTTCTAAGATAACTATTTTTATGATTAATTACCCTAATATTAGTTACTTCTATCATCGTTACAAGAATTTCTTTTAAGTTTCACTTTACCGCGCGCGAATCAGAAAGTCGCATAAATCGAACCGAAGCGGCCAAGTGGAGATTTAAGAAACTTAATCTAGACTACTAAGAATGAATAATTATAATGCTTAAGGAAGTGCATTAGAGGTTTAGTGCACAAGTGAAACAAACCCTAGAGGAAACGAGCACGAAACGCGCGCGTAGGCACACTATTGGAGAGTTGACTTTTGTGCACAAAGGCCACCAACCACCAAGCTTCCATGAGAAGCTTCATTATCAGATTTTCACTCCCTCTCACTCTCTCAAAGCAGCCAGCCACCCCAAGGAGAAGAAGAACCAAAAACCTTCATCATCTCACTTCAATTTCTTGCACCATTTCACTTCAAATATACCGTACAAACTCAAAACAACTTGGAGACTATCTTGGACTAGGAAGAGGACTTCATTCTCATGATTTTCTTGTAGCTTCAAGGTGACCAAAATTTTTGAGTTTCAACACCCAAGAGGAAGTGAATGATCTAACCTTCTAAACTTGATTTTTGTAAGTTAGATTGGACTTGGAAGCTTGTAACTTTATGTGGGTAACTTTGGTTGGTTGAAAATTATGTGAGTGGGTTCTATGAACTCCCACAATCGACTTGTTAGACTGATATGATGATTTTGGATGTGATTTATGTTGATTAAGTGTTAAACTATTGGTTATATGTTGAAAAAGTGGAAAGAAAATCAAAGGAAACCAAAGGGAGAAAGGGGCCGAATCTGCCCTGTTCTTGCCGCAGCCTTAGTTCAATTTTTTTGTGATCAAATTGTCTTGATTTTAATTTAGATATATTTTATAGGTTGTGTGGAAAGTTTCCACCAAAAATCACTTGATTTGGTTGGGTAAAAGTTGCATTTTTGAAAATCCTTCAAACCTGGAAAACGTGTACAGAGATACTCTGGCAGCGAATTTTGAACAAACATAACTCTTTGCACCGACGTCAAAATCGAGTTTTGTTTGTGGCATTTGAAATTAGAGACTTCCAGTTAGAAAACCGGTATAAAATTCATCCCTTGATTCGACTTGAGTGAACCGTACTAGTTTTTCAAAGTTACCTGTCCTGTTTCATTGCTGTTCTAGAGAACCTATGATGTGCTGTGACTTGTTGCTTGAATTTAAGCTAACTATGAATAGAATTCCAAAATAATTTTTTCTAAGAAATTGTAGCCCTGTGAATGTAGTTTCCAACGCCACCAACCATGCCTAATTCCAAGTTGAATTGACTGAGTTATGGCCAAATTACAGACCTGCACTAGAGATAGAAAACCCTAATTTTGGGCTAGCCGATGGCTTAGCTCGAATTGGGACTTATTATTTTGAAACTTTTGGTATTAATCACCTACCAAATGTATCTTGGATTTTTATTAAAGCTTCTCTTCATAAATGAACCATGTTTGAGATGATTTCATTAGCCAAATGTTTGAAAACGGAAAACAGAAGCTTGAAGACAGATTTGTCTTCGGATTCCCTTGAACTTTGATAGTTTAGTTAACTACCTTCCCCTTTGAATTTTCAAGTGAAATTTGGTAGAGGGATAGTTCTCATATGGGAGTTGAATTTTACCAATTTTTGTGTCGTTCAAAAACTGTTTTGACGTACGAATAAGTTACCAAATTTAAACTTCCAAATCTGGAAAATTGCCTAACAGTCTCAATTTTTGGCCAATTTTGAGCTGCTATATCTTGACATTCAAAACTACGATTCTTGTTCCATTTATTGTGTTTTAAACTTTGATTGTAACTTTACTTGAATTTCAAATTTGAGAGGCTATTTCACATTCTGTGAATTTTGCTGAATTTCCAAAGTTTGCCAAAAACCAACCGCGAATCTGCCTTGGAAGTACAAGTCAGCAACTTCAAGCCAAAATTTGAGTGTCTTCCACTTAGAATTATGGAAAAGTGTCTTCTAGAAACTTTTAGTACTTCAAAACGAGTTTCCAACAGTACCAAGTTTTCTGATTTCGGACATACGAAAAGTGAGATATGATTTTTCAAAGAATGCACCTCTAATCTGAAATTTTCAAACTTGACGGGAATTGAGTTTTTGGAGACTCTTCCCTATCCTCGAATACTAATTGACCATTTTGGACTTGTCTTCATGAAGGAAATCAGTTTTCCCTTGTGTTGTTAAACACCACCTTCGAATCTTGAATTTTGAGCAATTAAGGCTCATTTTCATGATATTCTCTAAGATTGTACAAGTGTGCAATCTTCTTTGATAATTGGGGTTTTTAAATGATAGTGTGTAACAGATAACTATTGTTTGCTCAGGATTTCAAGGGGACCTTCAAGAGGATCTTACAACGGACGTTTAAGTACTTGAATTGTGCAACACATTCTCTTATTTTGATAGGTGAAAGTCAAGTGTATGTGAACTTGTTACATGCTTAATTGTTATTAGTAATTGGAAATTTTGAAAATGTTGAGTCTAGTGTGTACTTTACCGCACTCGTTCTCATTTGAATGAATAATGATTGAATTGACTGAAATGAAATGAATGGATTGAAATGTATTGAGTGGATTGAATGAAATGAAATGGCATGCTATGGCTGCATACGTCGCTGGAGTGAATCTCCTCGACTCATAAATGTTAAATGGGGAATGCCCAAACTCATAGACCAGCTTGGACTTGAGCCGGCATGGGATTGGTCGGGAACCTTGGTGAGCCGTGGGAATGAAATGATAAGTTTGATCTATTGGAGAGATCTTACTTGGTCTACTCGTGCAGTAGCACCTTTAACGCAGTTCGGGTCCGGTGGGGGGTTGTAAGGTGGAAGGACCTGTGAATAGAGCTGTAAACGAACCGAATCGAACCGAATATCTCATGTTTGAGTTCTGTTTGTTAAGCGATTCGAACAACGTTCGTGTTCGTTCGTTAATTTTCGAACACCAAATCTGTGTTCGTGTTCGGCTCGTTAGCAAAATTCGTGTTCGAATTCGAGTTCATGTTTGGCTCGTTTAACATAAACGAGCCGTTCGCGAACATGTTCGAAATGTTCGAATCCAAATTATTTTAACCCTTAAATATGCCATGCAAATCATTAATCATTCTAAAAAGCAATTAAAGCAACTAAGTGGCTAAATTCTATTATTCATTAACTATATAACTAATATTAACATAAAAATAACAAATAAAACAAAGCAATTTGCCCTTTAAATATAAAAGTCTAGCCATAAAATTAACTCTAAAATTTGTCAAATGATAATTATGTCCATATTCGTGAACGTTCATTAAAACTCATGTTCGCGAATGTTCGTTTAGAATGTTTGCGAATGTTCGTTAAAATTTGCGAATATGCTCGTGTTCGCTTGATTATTAATCGAACAAAAAAATTTGTTCAAATTCGGTTCGTTTAAGGTTTCGAACGAGTCTTTCACGAACACGAACGACTCGAAATGAACCGAGCTACCGAACAGCTTGGTTCGTTTAACAGCTCTACCTGTGAATTAAAGTGGAGTTTTACGAATTTAAAAATACCGACCTGGGTGACGGAGTGTCATCGTGGAAAGGTATTCAATCGAGGTTGGCAAATCAAGTGGAAATTAGTTTTCGAGAGCTACCATATCCTTGAATTATTTCTGTTTAAATTTCACTTGAATTGTTAATTACTCGAATATTATTGTTTTACTTGTTGGATGGGATTGTTACTTGGACAACATGCTTGCATGTGTGTTCTTGGCTTCACGAGCAATCGCTCACCCCGTAAATTTATTTTCCTTAACAGGAATGGATTTGGAGTAAAACTCGAAAAAAATCCTTGAGATGTACTTTTGTGTTAGGGTTTCAAATGTAATCGATTAGACATCTTCTAGCAGTGGTATATTTTGAAAAATTAATGTATTTTGAAGTTGTGATGTAAGATTGAATATTTATATATGGAAGCATCTCTATTTTCTTACTTTGTCTTGTCGTTTTAGTTATCATTGTATTAAGGTTGAACGAGAATTGTACTGAATCCTAGCGAGAGTTGGGCAAGAGTCCC